CCCCCCCCCCCCCCCCCTCCCCCCTTCTGCTCATATTTGTCTCTGGAAATGGAAGCACTAGAATGAATAAATGAAGTCATGCGCAGCTGTCATCCGTACGCAAGGAGGTGAAAGCAAGATGCCGAACACCGAACACACTTAGCAGGATGCAGCGCACTCTTCATGCGACTCGCCGAATACCTCAAGGCGCTTCGCGCTTGGTGATGTGAGAGCCTGGTCCGGTGAGAACCCGGCGTGCTCCGTCCCGGCTTTGTAGGGATGCGAGGTCGATGGTCTAACGACTACGGCATGCACGACTATGAGTACCCCCCCCCCCCACCGCCCCTTCTTGTCCACGAGGGCAAAGGTTACGACTTCGTTCATCCACCATGAGTGAGTGCCCAAGACAAACGGCTGAAGCAGTAGTCTGTAGAGACAACACATGCCAACACACCGGTATAACGCTTCGACGAGGTGCGTTCCAGCAACAGATGAATAACAACCCTAAAACATGTAAAAAATAAAGGACACCACCATGTATCCCGGGGCAAAATAAACAAAAAATGAACCTGTATACGTAGAATTCAGCAGCAGCGCCACTCCACTAACCTGTACGCAGGGGGGGTTCGAGCACGGCAAGTTCTCGGTCGCCTCCGACAGCTGGCTCCACACCTCGTTGGCTCGGTCATTATCCGCCGCCGCAGGCGCGTCATCGGGCGACGACGCACCTTGAGAGTCCATCTCGATGTCCGGTGTATCAGCATCCACGTCATCAGCCGCTCTCCGCCGCTGCCGTCTCAGGGCAGCCGAGTCATTGCCTTCCTCCAGTGCTTCGCCCCAACTCCCTGGGGACGGCGGCGCATCCTCAAGGTCTCCTCCTTCCACCCTCGCCCTCGGCCGGCGCTCGTTCTCAGAAGGCCAGTTCGGGGCGTGCAAGCCTTTCTGCCGCCCCTGGCGGTCACCACCGCCGTGGTGCAGTCGTTTTTGTGCTTTGGATGTACGGAGGCGGCCTGGTCTCTGCTCGGCGGGTTCTTGCCCTTGGGCTAAGGCGAGCCCGCTGCTGCTGTGATGCACACGTCCAAGCGGCGGCGAAGAGAAAAGCAGCACGAGAGCGACACCCTGCGCCGGCGGCACGGAGGGATTGATTTGACACCGGGCGGGGGCGGGGCGACAGCAGCAGTTGGGACGCAAGCGCGTAGTACGGAAAAGAGGGCCAGAACGTTAGCACATGGGTGTGTGAACGCTTTCAGGGGCGATGAAAGTGAGAGGGCGGTTGCACAGGGGTATCGTTTCGGATACTGCAAGCACCCCGTTCATTAGACTAATTAACCGCGAGTTTTCGCAGCCCCCGTGCAGTCGCTTTCGAACTTTTTCGCAAGTCATTTTCATCGCACAGGGGTGCGAATATACCCCGGTTTGCTGCGCGGTGACTCTGGACCCTGTACGAAATTCAAAATGTATTGGATATTAGAGAAGACCCGTGCGCGATAACTGCTGTGCGATCCGAAGAAAAATTCTGCAGGCGCTGTTGGACTGTTTTTTTCGCACATCTGTGTGTGACAACTCCGGGCTCCCCTACAATACATGGGGGCCCAACAAAAAATATCCTCATACCATAGACGTTACTATATCGCGCGAAACGCGAAAAGAGGGGTCGGAGAGAGACATCAAAGCAAGCGTAGATAGACATGGATGGAGCCTACGCCACCACGTAGGTCACCAGTGCGCACACTCACACCTCACCCGATACCACCAGTCAGTCAGGGGATGACTGGGAGCGCTGTTTAGCTCTCATCACCATCACCTCAGCGGCAGCAGTGCTGCTGTTGCTGCTGCTTGCTGTTGCTGCCGCTTGTGCTGCTGTCCATGGATGCGCACTTGCTTTCTTCGCTTTCGCTACTAGCAAAGCGCAACGGGCTCTAAAAACTGGCCCGGACCCCTCCCACGACGTGGGTACTTGGCCGCCCTTGGCTTACAGCGCTGTGTACGTCTCAGGGCCGTTTTAAACTGACCGACTTTTTGTCAAAATGTTTGAAAGTGTCAAAAAAATGGAACCTGTATGTAGGCGTTTGTCCATATTTTTTCAAAATATTTGGAACGAAGTTGGGCGCGAAAACTTTGCTCCACTTCGTTCCAACTTTTTGACAACCCTCTCAAAGTATTTGGAGCACTTTCCAAAGTACCCTTGCAGAGGCACGCGAGGGCTGCTGCGTCTGCACCACGAGTGCCCCTCACCGTAGAAAGTCAGCTAGGGTTGTGTGTGGGTCATGGCCGACCGTAGAAAGCGCGGCGCGCCTACAGATTCGAGCGGCTCTCCTCGCCCACGGGCACGCGCAATACAAAAAAAAAAAACGGCGGTCCGCCATGATGGCTTGCAGTTGTTGCTTCGCGTCCGCCGCTTTGTTTTTTCCTTTTCCCGGGGGGGTAGGAGCAGTGGTTGCCACCCCTCGCCGGCGGAGTGTTGGTGGCGGCAGCGCCTCCCGTGGTAACATGAGTGTTCCCCGAGATGCCAGGCAGCAGCACTATCTTGCTGGAGAGCAAGCCTCCACCGCCTACGGCGGCACCGAGAGAGCCCGTCTGCTGGAATTTCGCCGGGGTTTTGGTCTGCCGGCCACGCTGGGTGGTCGTGATATCCATGTCGGTGTCCATGATGTCGTGTTTTCCGCGGTTTGTGTTGTGTCGTCTGTGTTGTCTCGAAGTGAGCGCTACAACTCACGGACGGCGTCATTTTTTTTGACACAAGTTGCACAAGTCTACGTCACACGTTTAAAATGACTGCACACAGGTTCCAAGTTTTTGAAAGACAACTGTCGAAAATTTTGACAAAAAAGTCGGTCCGTTTAAAACGGTCCTCACTTGTCTCTGTTTCTAGGGCGCGTCTGTTGTTGAAACAAAGGTCGGCCGGCAGACGAAGAGACCGCAGACAGAGGTCTGACTTGTGTGCACTCGCATGTTCCCTTGCGGGGTCTACAAATTGCTTCCGACGACAGCCATGATGTGTGCCTTTGGCCGGCCTTGGCCTACAGCAGTGTGTAGGCCTCGTTTTCTCTAGTGTGGGGGTGCGACTGTGCGGGAAGCTCCAAAGATCGGTAGGTTGAGGGTGATGCAGACCGACAGCGGATTGACTTGCGTCGTCACTCGCTTGTGCTGCCGACAGCAGGCATCGGGCTGCAAGAGTCATACCCGACGCCTCCCATGATGTGTGCCTTTGGCTGCCCTTGGCCTTCAGCAGTCCGGATACTGCTGTGCTGATGGTCGTATGTTGTCTACGTGAGGTGTATGGTGCTGCTGTGCAAGAGGATTTCGATGATTCTGCCGAGAGCGTCGTGCCCATCCCCCAATCATCTGTCTCTGTCTTACAAAATGTCTCACAAACTCGACGGGTGATTGGTTGGAGATGGGCATCTACCAGGCTCTACCCCTCTAACAATTGTTGGAAGTTCTTCCGAGTCATACAAAAAATTGCCCTATTTATGGCTCACCTCCCCAACTCCGGCCGGTACCATTGGAAAACCCACGATAGGCCTTTTCCTCTCCTTCATATTCATACATCTCCACGCGTGGTTAGCGACGATGCCATACACCCTGAATACTATTATAGCATGCCAGCACTAGCTAGCATGGTTGCAGGGGTAGAAGTTGCCACCGAATCGTTGGCACTCTCGTCTACGCTGCTTGTACCACCGTGCGATACTCCGAGCGGAATAAATCATTTAGAGACTAGGTAGGTAAAGCGAATAAATATTCTTCTGAACAGGGTTCAAATGACTCTGGATATTTTTTGGCTCTGGCCGGACTGCTGTGCGGCACATTACTCCCGCGGACCGATCATGGCGAGCGATCTCACGGTACTCGCTTACAGCTATTAGACCCGCTTTCCACCGAACAATTGCAAGACAGCTTCAAATCGTTCGCTCCCTCGAGAGGTTTGAACCGACAAAAAAAGTGTTCATCGTACTAGACGATTAGGTTATGTTAGATAAGCCTATTAAGTACTTCTAGATGTATGTGCGAATCCACTTCCATTTACAGCAATTTGACGACTATTATAGTACATAGTGCTGCGGCAACATGCCCCGTCGCAAATAACGTCCGTCCAATTTTCCTCCACAATAATCGCCGCAAAAGACAGAACTTTCGCTGACGCTATGGATTCAATGCTACTCTTATCTCAGATTATTTTCTTCGATGGAGATGGACTCGTTGGGTCATCATGCTGATGGAATAAAAACAAGCCAGCAACAACAAGCTTTGTAATCGACACTACTGCTGTGTACTCTACACTTCAGAGGGTCAGCAACAAGTTTCAGGAGCGGAGACTGGCGGTCGGTGGGGACAAGCGGGATATACTTTGTATATATTTTTCAGTTGGTCTGGTGTGTTTGCCGAAGGCAAGGCTCACATGTAGACTTTGATCTCTTGTTGTCGCACCAGATCGATGTATGATGTGTGAGTTTGTGAGTTGTTGGCCGGCGAAACTACAGCAGCAGCAGCAGTCACTACGGGCTCCAAAAGAGCATGTTTGCATATTCTTCCGATATGCATACGAAACAGCTGTAAGGTTATGTTTACTTTGTAGAAAAAGCACTGCCTTGAATTTTGTCACGGAAAGCAAGGCAAAAACAAACAAACAGGTCCTAATCGTGGTCAAATCTACCGGCACTGAAGCAACAGAATCAATCGCTAATTGTACCAGGATCCTACCCCCTGCGCTGTACATTCAAATTCGACAGCAGCAGCGGTGTGGTGATGAAAAAGACTGCAATAGGAAACGAGTCTCGATTACCCGAATATTGCTTGCTACAAATACCAGGCCGGTTTGATTGTCGGTTGATTGCTGCGTTAAAGGCACGGACGGTTGGAAGCAAGTCGTGTGGTTGCTGCGTTGCTGCATGCAGGTCAAGTATTTACATAGCAGGCCTCTGCGCTTCATTGGTGTGACGGTTTGGTCCACCACCACCTACTTCGAAAGGAGCGTCGTGCTAGTCAACCGTGCTCGCTGCTGTTGCTCCCGCGTAACTTACCCCCGACGTGCCTGTTGTTGTTGTTGTCGTCACATACAGTTCCGATCTCTCTCTACCCGTTGATGAACGACGAATTGATGAATATGCAGAGATGAAATCATGAACCAGAAAAAAGAAATACTTCGAGAAGTACGAATAACACATCATGCAATGTACGTGTGCAGAGACTATTGGAAAAAATAAGACCACTTGACTGGTCAGATGGGCTATTTGCCTGGTCAGATGGTATAATTTCGATCTAAAAAAACAAATTTTATCTAATAAAACAAGTGAGATACACCGCTGTCATATTGAAGACTGATAAGTTGTATTGTAAACAGGGGCAGTGTGTTGAGAGTTATATACGTACAACCAAGAGAGCGACTCACCGGCAACACGCCGGCACTGGTAACAAACAAGCAGAGGCCGGGGGCGCCTCACAGATCAACTGTCGGCCTACAGACACACAGGCAGACCGCTGGAGCTCTTGTTGAACGAACCACTGGTGGCAAACACACACCCTCCAATGTTCTTCCCTGAATCCCATACCAACGGCTGGCTAATTTTTGTTTGTGCCAAAAAATGGGCCTCGGCTGCGTGCTGTGCGTTGGTCGAACGGGGCGACCAGCGACCGTCAAAAGGCGCCGGCTTTCCCCCCTCACCGGTGTTTTCATAGGGTGTGCAGGGCTGGTCCGGACACCAATCGATGCGCGAGGGCACAGCAACCCAGGCGAGGTCTGCATTATTCCGACCGTAGTGTCAGGCAGGTTTATGTCGCATCTATAATGTGGGGTGAGTTGGGTATGCAAACAACACCACAAACAAGGTGCGGACAGGTGTGCCGTTTTGGGGTGGTTGAGTTCGGGGGTTTGCCGACCATTTCCCGAGCAGCAGCTAGGCCCAGCCAGCATGAGACCTCGCGCCCCAGGGACGAAACGAACAGAGCCCATGCTTTGCGGCCCAAGCCAACGCCGAGGCTGCTTCCCGGGTTGTTCATCACCCAAGCCAAGAAGCGATGATAAACTTCTCTCGTTTGTGACGACCGCGAAGCAAGAAGAAAAATATTTTCTCTAAAGAGAAGAGATGTGTGCGGATAGACCGCTGATGGACAACATCATTCACGCCCAAATAAAGTAGTTGCAAACCAGAGCGGACCTGGTCCTTATCGCTGCACGACTTACCAGGGTTCGCCCTCCTCCTCCTCCTCCTCGTCCTCTTCGTCCCTTTCCCTTCAGCCCGAAACCCCTCATCATCTGTTCCTTTGTTCCTGTGTTCTTGGTCTGCCCCCGCTCGCAGGTGTTTCGATGCTGTTGCAACCAACTGCTGTGGCGTGCGTGCGTGCTCCTCCAAGTTCCTGTTCAAAACTTTGAGCTTTTTTTTTTTGGGGCTCCTAGAGCCGGACCCCCCCTCCATGTGCTGACAACATTTTTGTATCTAGGGAAAACAAGGACTGCTGTAGTACCGCGCCGGGCGGATGAACGCTCCCCGACAGATATATGCTCGCCAAGTAGGATGACGTTCGGATGGATTGTCTATGCCACAGAAGAGAGTGTGATCATTACGATCTTGTAGAGAAATCATAGTCTCGGTGTTATGCATTCTTCGCAGATTTATTCCTTCTGTCTTTGGAAGCTAATAACCCACTTGCACCGATGCCGAGCCTCGGGTAGTCGGGGAGACGACGGAAATGAGGTCTTTTACTTTACTTCATGTGTAGCTCCCCAATGTTGGCTTGCCCCGGTTGCTATTTCGTCATGTATGATATGTACATGTGCTGTAACTTTTAGCGCGCTGGCCGCACTGCTGCTGCAGTAGTACACTGCTGTACAACAGTACAGGTGAACGCGTAGAAAGGGGCTGTGTGCCATTCAAATCCCGAGAATAAATGTGCGGGCGGTTTATTGGGGAAGCATCTTGCCGAGCACACCTTTGTGCCTATGCATAGCCTACATACATACGTAGACTATATACGTGCCCGATTTCTCGATCGGCCTCAACACCCTCTTGGGTATGGGTTGCAGAAAAAATGATAGATCTCGCACACCTATACCTACCTGTACGTTCGCCCGCCCGCACTTTTCTACGGCCAGGGAAGATCTCCATAACGAGCCGCCACTTTAGCGAGCCAACATTATTCTATGCGCAAAAGAAGTGGTGCAATAATGGTGCATTCAATCCCAGAACACGCCGTTCGTTTCGTGGTGTAAGATATGATACCCCGGGAACCAATCTTCGCGGGATACAAATATCTACCCAACGCAAGATATATGCATAGTCGAGCGTTGACAGTCTACATACATACGTGTAGACTACAGCAGTGTGTGTGTGTGTTTTTCCTATTTACTAGTCTAGGTATCGGGGGGTCATGAGCCGCGTGGTGCGACGCAATACCTTGCAGTAGTCTTATCTGCGATGCTGATGGTGCACGAATCCCGACACACACCAATGTCTATGGGGCAGCTATGCGTGCAACTGTGTACCCAACACAGCAGAGTAGGCAGGGAGGTCATGAAAAAAAGAAACACAGCACAGAGGCCGAAGGCAATAATACAAAGGGCATAGTCTAGTCTACGTAAAAGGAGTATAGCACACAGCAGGGAGGGAAACAGGGCGCAACGAGATCAATCGGGTACATAGTTCGCCACAAGTGCTGCCTCGGCCGCCCTACTCGCTTCTACAGCAGTGCCCGGTCGCCG